TCACAGAGATAGGCACAAGGTACTGCCCCCATTTGAAAGGGTAATTTCGTAGCATCAGCCAAAAATTTGAACATCCATATATATTAATCTTTAAATCCACGTTTGTAGTACATGATCACCTTCCTTATGGGAGGTTGATACATGTTCACACATCTTCATTCTTTATTCGTCTCCTTCCCTCCCCTCCCCTCCCCTCCCCCTTCTTCATCTTTTGTGAAAGACTTATCTCCCTGTTTCTTATTCGCTTTCATTTCACTTTTTTTGGTTTCTCATATAAATGCCATGCAATATTTAACCTTGTGTGTCTGATTCATTCCATTTAACACGATCTGTAGGTACACCCCTTTTCCCACAAATGAGTCAAGTTTACCCTTCTTTACAGCAGAGTACTCTGATGTAAATGCCACATTTTACCCATTCATCTGTTGACAGATATAGGCAGGTTCCAAAATTTTGTTATCATGAATTGTGCGGCTATAATCATGAGTATGGGAATAGCTGGCTTGAATGAAATTCCTAGATTTAGTTTTCTGAGTACTCTCCATACTGATTTCCATCATGGTTGTACTAATTTACATTTCCACCAATGCAGAAGGGTTCTTTCTTCCTCCTTTGTTGTTACCTCATTTCTTGATGAGAGCCATTCTTTCTAGAGTAAGACAGAAACTCTGTTTTGGTTTGCATCTCTCCAATGGTCAGAAATGAACATTTTTTCACGTATTAGCCATATGTACTGTTTGAGAACTGTCTATTCACTTGTTACCTATTTTTTGACTTGGTCTTTTATTATGGGAAGGCTTTAGTTTTTTCTTTTTTGAGTTCTTTTATGTTCTAGATAGATTAAGTCCCTGACTTACGAACATTTGAGTTGCGAACTTCTAGATACAGACCTCGTTTTACAGATATTCATAGATGTGAACAAATCACAGAGGTAGCTCATGTGTCTGCTGGACACTGTCAGAATTGTTCTGCTGTGTACTTACTGTACAGTGACAGTGTACAATTAGTACAGAAGAGAACTTACTGTATTGCTTTTAATGCTTTACAGTGTATATTTGTGTCAAAGTTGTATAACTAGATTCACTTTGGCAGACTTACGATTGAACCCGATTTACAGAATTCATTTGTAAATTGAGGACTTACTGTATTCCTCTGAGGAATAACTGGCAAAAAATTTTTTCCCATTCTGTAGCTTGTCTCTTCACTGTTAGTTGTTTCATTTACTGTGTAGAAGCTTTTAAATTTGACATGGTCACATTTGTTGATTCTTGATGTCATTTCTGTGTAACTGAAGTTGCTTATAAAGTCCTTTGCTACGCCTAAATTTTCCAGTTTTACCTATTTTATCTTCCAGTAGATTGTTTCTGCTTTAACATTCAGATCTTTGATCTATTTTAACTTTAGTCCATGCTGATAGAGGTCGAGATTCAATCTTCTGCATGTGGATAGCCAGTTTTCCATTAAGTAAATGTATTTATTTTTTTCAATCAATTTTTATTGGTACATTTTAGATACACATAATGATCACATTCATTACAGAGAATTTGTACCTGTACATGATATAACTTGATTTTTTCTCATTCCCCTACCCTCCTTTTAACTCTTAAATCCCACCCCATTTACAAAAGTTTTGTTTCCATTTTTTCCTTTTCTCATTTTTTTATTATAAAGAGAAAAAAAACCCAAAAATACAGAATTTCAAAAACAAAATAGGAAATTAACAATGGTTGCTATATTGCATATTGTTATCTACAATGTAGTTGCTCAGATTATAAGATATACGCATGCAAAACTATCAAACAATGTAAGCACAAACTGTTCCTTTTGATGAATAGAAATTAGTATAATTATTTTAGCTATCTTGTGGATACAGGTATATTTTTTTCTTACCTCATCCCAGTTATTCTTTCTTTTTAAGCAGTTTCTTTCCCTTTCACAATATCTATTGTGTATTTTGGATCTTATTTACTCTTTTAGTTTCTTACACTAGGGAGACAATATGATGTTTACACATGAGTCTGATTTATTTTACTTATGAGTATGGTCTCTACTTTGCATCAATTTCTCTATAAAAGCCTCGAGTTTATCCTTCTTTATAGCTAAGTAGTACTCCATTGCACAAAAATACCACATCTTTTTTATCCATTCCTCAGTTGACAGGCATTTGGGTTGTTTCTAAGATTTTGCTATTAGAAATTGAACATAAACATGGGTGCACATATACTGTTGTGGTATGATGTTTTTTAATTCTTCTGGGAAAATACCAGAAGGGGAATAGTTGGGATCTCTAATCCTAGTTTTTTGAGGAACCTCCACCCTTATTTCCCCAGGGCTCGTACCAGTCTACATTCCCAACAGTGGAGAAGGGCTCCTTTTCCCCGCAAAACCCCGCCAGCATTTGTTACTGGTTGATTTCAAAGAACTGCTGATAGCCATTCTTTCTGGAGTGAGATGGAATCTGTGTTGTTTTAATTTTCATTTCTTGAATGACCAATGACGCTGAACATTTTTTCATGTATCTGCCATTTGTATTTCTTCATCTGAGAAGTGTCATTTTTTTTACTTTTCCCTTTCCTTTTCCCTTCTCCTTTGTTCCCCTTTGCATCTGAACATTTTCTTCCTATTTCACAATACCTATTAAATTTTTTTTTGAATCAGCAATTCTATTTTTATCAATTTGCACAAGTAGGGATATATTATGGCTTGTATGTAGCAATAAGGAGGTCTGGCTAATAACAGTGGATAGAGAAATATTTTTGTCTTTGGTCTCCCCAACAAATTAACTTTTTTCCTGACTCTAAGAACATGGGTTTTTTTGTTTGCTTTGGTACTGGGAATCCAACTCAGGATCCCGCACTTGCCAGGCAGACACTTGTGCCGCTGACCTATACCCCCGGCCCTAAATACATGTTTTTCAAACAATGCAAGTGCAGAAATGAAGTCTCTTGAAGAATCACCCTGCCTCAGAGACACAGTGAGGTCAGCTTGAAGATACTGCACCTGCTTCTGCCGATCCAGTGCTTGGGTGACTGCTGCATTCCCAAGCAAAGACATCCAGGTGCCTTTCCTTCCCATCACTGATGGTTTCCACAAACATCCAGGTTTACAGGACACTGAAATGTCTTCCGAGTAATGAATATGAAAATATGAGTAATAAACACATCTTTTTACACTTAAATTGATAATATGGAAATTCTATCAGATTTGACTGCAGAGGTAACTTATAAGCAATATTAAGTTATGAAAAAGTCAACGCACTGGTCTAATGTAATACTCATCACATTAACACAATGGCCACTTAAGCTTTGCTAACTGAATATAAATATTTTAGTGACTTTTTTTTTTGAGAGAGAGGGTCTCACTATGTAGTTCAGGGCTACCCTTTGACTACGTAGCCTAGGCTGGCCTCAAACTCACAGCAATCCCGAGTGCCGGGGTAGGTGTAGAGTTTAAATATTATGAATGGAAATGAGTTTCACAGAAATGTATGTTATATAAATTGGTAGCAAAGAAACAGAAGCAGCGGTCGTTTCACAGGAGTAGAAATTGTAAGGAATAAGACGCGGTTATTTAGATAGGAAACTCTGATGAAATAAATGGGGGGGGGGCTATTTCCACAGCCAGGAAACAGTATTATAGATATGCACACAAGGAAATTAGGTACGCAAATATCCTCAAGAGGGACCTGAAAGCAGTGGTTATGGTTACAAACCCAAGAAATACAAATGTCTGGAGACCGCGTGACCCTTTTTGGTAAACACAAGACTGAATTTTCGGGCAGGACCAATTCAGGAACTATATTCACACCTGAGCCATCGGCCTGGGAACCTCACTAACTGCAGATATGCAGACTGGACACGAGTACGTTTAGGGGCTTATTTTGATTTTAAAGAGGCAGCAATGGAAGGATATAACCTCTCGAAAGTTACCTAGGTAGCTTCAGGATGGCAGTGGGGCTCAGAAAGGACTCTGGCAGGCACAGCCAACTCCCAGGTCCTAGACCGAGACATGAAGTGAGCCAGAGCAAAGCACAGTATATAATGAACACGAACACCCTGTGCAAGCAAAAAAAAAAAAAAAAGTGAAACTAGGGGACAGAACGATCGAAGTATGTTATGTGCACGTACAAATCTGCCAAAATAAACTCATTAATCTGTATACATGAACGGGGGGAAAATCCAAACATACGCATAGCAAAATGTCTGGTAGGAACTCCCTTAAGGTTTATTTTGCTGGGGTTGGAGGTTGGGAGTATAAGATACTTGTTTTCTTCTTTATATATTTTTTAGCAGTTTTATTTGCAGTTTTTTTTTTGAGACAGGGTCTTGCTATGCAGTTCAGGCTGGCCTTGAGTTCACTTATGTGGCATAGGCTGGTCTTGAACTCGCAATGATCCTCCTGCCTCAGCCTCTGGAGTGCTGGGATTATAGGTATGCGCCACCACGCCCAGCCTGTAGTTAATAGTTCTTATAGTAAAAAATTCTTGTCTTCTAAGCCTAATCTAGCATGCTTTCTATTTATTATCCATATCCATAGATATAGCTCAGCTTAATGTGAGGATTAAAGTTTCAACTCTTGGATTATCTGGAGATTGCTCCATGAAAAGGATTACTCTGAACTTGGACTCATTTAAAATGTTTTTAAGAAACAAATGCTCTTCAGTGCTCACAGATAAAGAGCAGCAAATGTGCCATTCATCAGTAGCTCTATAAATTAGGCTTCTCGGCAGCTCAGCTCTTGCCTCCTCCCAACATGCACGCTGCAGGCTTCCTCCCCGATTGCATGAGAACTCAGGCCTTTTTACAGGAGCTGCTGGAAAAAACAGAGCTGAAACCTGGCAAAATAAAAGGGCGACACAACAAACAGACCCATGAGTCCCACACACTGCGTCCTGCCCCAGGCAGAACCAACTCTTCCATCAGGAAGGTGAGAACTTGGCGTCTGCTTATTTTTCTGTTCAAGCACTTAGGGAAACCAAAGGAAAAACAGTTGGAAACTTGGTATTTGAGTAGAATTTTTAATGACAAAATTTATGAAATACTAAATGGCTGTCAGATACGTTTTCAAAGACTTTTTAATCTTTTCACAATCTAGTGTTGCGTTTAAAACAATAGGATACAGCCAAAGATTTTTAAAAAAATCAACACTGTCTCATACAATGGATGCAAAGAATGAGATGACATACACAATGTTAAAGACTGTTTGGGCCATGGACTCAGGCTCGACGTGTGAAAACAAGCTTCACAAGAGCAAAGCCACTGCGTAGAGCACTTTGCTTCTTTCCACTGAGGTCTGGCTGCCCGCCGCCTGCCCCTTGCAGATGCGGTGGGGCAGCATCACTGTGGACTCTGCTCTGAAGGCGGTGCGGCTGGGCTACGTCCAGCCACTCTGTACTCTTCTCCCCACTTCTTCTGGAGAAAGCAAACTGTTCTTCCACCAGGCTGATTCTGGTAAGGAGGATGCAGCCTGAACCCTGTTAGAACTTTGCACTCGATGAAAGACTTATTGTATAAACGTAGTCTACTGCCTCTTCAGAAGATGCAGGTGAGGAACCGACTCGAAGTCGCCTAGTACCTTTTCCACTGGTCATGCTCATACTGTCTGCTTCCTGCACCCAAACAGACATGAAAATCAAAGTCAAAATTAACTCTTTCCAAATATTCAAACCGAAGCCTGCACATTTTTAGCCTGCATAAAAAATGGCACGCTGAGTTGTGTACAAGAACAGAGCTTTATTCTTTCAGTTGTGGCCACCTGTCATTAAAATTTTGCTCTATAATTATTCCATTAAAGTGGAAGCAATTAATTAGGAGCTAGTGCTGTTAGTGGAAGGAAACTGTCAAAACTGTTCCTCTTAACACCAGTTCCAACCATCTGCATGATATCTAGACTCTTATTACTTGCTAATGATTTTGGAAATGGAAATTCATATGCAGATGGCTCACAAGAGCCTTTCTACCAAGCACAGAAAAAGCCATGTGTGTGGCTTTTCCAAGGCTAAGCCAGAGCTTCCTTCCCCGGCCCATAGCATGGATGGCCATTTTCTGCCTTTCTGATAGAGACTGTTGGGGAGGAGACTCAGAGCACAGCCATCCTCGTAGCAAAAGGTGACAAGTGTATCACACCTTATAAAGAACACCTGCACAACCCTTCTGAGCTCTTGTTTCCCACCGGCCCACAGAGCACGGCCTTCCCAGAGCACGGCCTTATAGCACCATGCCCGATGACCCCCAGAGGTGTGAAGATTCAGGGCTCCGGCAGCAGGCAGATGGCCAGAACAAATGAACATGATGATTCCCACACCCTTGTTATCCCAGATGATGGAAAGCACTTTGATAAGTGCTCAGGCCTCTTTAGAATTACCATGGAGAAGGCAGAATGTCAAGAATCCCAGGCAAGCTTACAGCTCCCAACTGTGGAATCTAACACATCATTTCTCCCAGCTTGGCGAATAACAGCAAGGGTGAGGCCGTGGTATCCATTTGTTCTTAGTGTGGCTGTTCCCCCTCTTTGAAGCTGACCACCTCAGGGGTGTACTCCCAGGGAGGTCTTGCTTTCCAATAGCTCCCAGTTCCCCACCTGGCCCACACTTGTCCAGGCTCTGGAACCTTGCCAACTCTGGCAGTAACAGAACACTTTCATTAGGAGGCGCTTTGAGTTTGCTAACACCAAGAATTTTGCCTTTTGATTCTACCCTGGAACACAAAATACAAAAATAGGACTATGCTCAGTGTAGGCAAAATCCCGCAAAATATGTGTTGGCCTCAAGTTCAGCTGCAATAATTAATAGTGAAAAAGTGAATTATCTGACCTGGAAAACACCCCAGTCCTTATGAAAGACTGTGTGACAGACACTTTACATAAACATAGAGCATAAGAAAACTAGCTCCACCAACAGCACGCCTGCAAACTTCCGTCCACACATGGCCAGCTGCAAGTTAGTGTGCGTTCCTGCCTTGAGCCACCTGGCAGAAGCACAACTGCTCTGGTCCTAGGACCCTCACCAATGCCAGCCCAGCACGCCACACTCAGGTCAGCCTTTTGTCCCACGACCCCGGGAGCCTCTCCCACCCCAGGGCCATTCAGGGCAGTCTGTGTTCCTACTATGATCCACCCTACAAAGCCGGGCTCTCCTTCAAAGATCGAAGTCTCAAACCCAGGCACAGCCTCTCAGCAGATTTTAGGCTGTATTTGGGCAGCGCCGTTTTTTGCTTCCAAGTAACCAGAATAGCAGTGGGCAAACTTGCCACTGGGCCCTGTGGCCAACCAGACACAAACCTAATGCAGAGCTCCAAATACTTCCTGAAATTCCAAGTGGCCATGTAGTGATGGGTTTGTACCATGCGGCCTGACTCCCCAGCCTGGGAGGGATCCACTCTGGGCAGCCAGGAGTGAGGCAAGAAAAGCTGATGTGCTGCTGCAGGCTCACTCACTTGCTAGGACTGACTGCCTCCAACCTGTGTGCCCTGGCACTGGCGTATTTATGACTCACTGGCCACAATCTTGTCACTTGTTCATTCTGGGTCAGGAAGCAATGCATGCTGTTTTTGGTTATCTGGCTTTTTGTTTATATACATAAGTGGCATCCTGAAGAAATGGTCAGAAACGAAGTGCAAACTAATCGGTAGTTATGGGTGAATGCACTGTATTAAAAGCAAAGCATTGCGGCTCACAACAGAACACCTGGCACTGTCTACACCATCGCTGTACTGTTGACCAGCTCGGGGATCATCTGAGTGATCAGCAGCCCTGTGCATGGAGCCTTGCCTGCCCCTCAGGTGGATCACTGGGAGTGATACCCACTTGACCACTGTGGAGCCTGGCATTTCAACTCTGTGCCCTTGCTTCAAGCCTGGACCTGGAGCTGTCTCCTCCTGACCTGCCTGTTACTGCATGCCTCTGACGGTCAGGTCTGTGGGAGGCCCACTAGCCCTCACCAGCCAGTACTCACTTCTACCTGACACTCCTGCTACAGGCCTCTTGGCCTGATGTCACTTGCCACACAAGTAGGGACACATGGAACCACAATGGCCCTGGCCTCCTGGCGGGACCCACAGCATGTGGCTGCAACAGACCAACTTGTGTGTGGACAACCCAAGGGACATGCTATCCTCATGCAGTTTCCAGAGTCAGATACTTCCGCTCTGGGACAGAACAGGGAATGATGGTGAATGTTGACGTCATGCACTAGGGAGGTCACTCTACCATTTTAATGTTTTCTAACAGAATTTGAGAAAACCAACTCATAGCTTCCTGCCAATCCAAGGAAGAAGGGCTCTCCTTATCTAATTTAAACCACTGCCAACCTACCAAGCAAAAGCGTAAGCTAACATTCAAGAGGTTCTTCTGGGCCTAATGGCCATGCCCTGGGAAAGGGCTTCCTACTGACACAGACAACTCAAGGTCACAGTCAGGCCTCCATGTATTTTCTTTGTTTTTTTTTTTTTTTTTTTTAATTAATTTATTTATTTATTTATTTATATTTTACTTTATTTTATTTTTTGGTGCTGGGAACTGAACTCAGGATCTTGTGCTGGCTATACCCTCAGCCCCCTTTATTTTACTTTTTAAAGATGTAATTGATAGTGTCTTCCTTCTGTGATACTCAAAATTGAACCCAGGGCTTTGTACATTCTAGGTAAGCACTGTACCGCTGAGCTACACCCACACCTCTTTCACATTTTCATTTTGAGACAGTGTCTTGCAAAGTTGCCCAGGCTTGCCCTTGAACTTGGGATCCTCCACCCTCAGCCTCCCAAGTTAATTAGGATTATAAGTTTGCCTCACTGCACCCAGTGACAGTTTTCTTTGCGATAGAAAAAAATTCTTTTATAAACAGTTCAACATAAACAATAAGAAAACCATAATTAATGCTGGGAAAGTAAGATGGACAAGTTCTGGTATGAGGCTCAGGAGACACAACAAAGCTCTCGGACAGGTGCTGGTTTAGTATGAATTTATCACTGAGCTATGAACCCTTCATAATAGGCCACAGGATTGAACAATCTGCACATGCAGGGCCTGGGAGGTGGAGGACTTAGAAACAGAGACAGGTCTGCCTGTAGGAGCCCCTGGCAGGTGCCTCTGGACCCTGGAATATGAGAAAAAGCCTGCAGCTCTCACTGTCTCACGAGGCTTCAAGGCCAGGTACCAACAGGCCCCACGCCATCCAGCTCTAACATGGGCAGAGACTGGCCTGCTCCTGACGATGGCTTTTCAACAATATTGCGTAGTAGTTTCCTTACTTGCCCTTAGGTGTTAACATTTATTCCTCACTGTTTACCATGAAAAAATAGGGTCAAAGAATCACAGAACTGCACAGCTAAGGGACACAGAGGTAATCCAGACCAGCTGCCTGGTAAACAAGAGGAGGTATTAGGAGAGTAATCCAGGATAATGTCCTTTGGTGGAGACTCGACTTGGTGCAGGTCAGTGCTTTCCTCCAGCTGGTGTCGGTCAGGGGTCTTCTCCTCTAGGTGAGTGTCAGGCAGGTCACTCCCGCTCCCAGCTGGGGAGGAGGAGGTCAGACCTCTCCTCCCCGTGGGGGCCAAGTCTGCAGAACTACAGTTCTCCCTCATTCTCCCCGCCCAGTCATCACTCAGCCTCAGCTCTGGTTTCTAGATAGAGGAAGGGAGCATTCTTGGGCGAGAAGGTAAGCACAAGGTCACCTTGTTCACGGGCACACTGGGTGAGCACAGGCACTGAGGAAGGAAAAACCATGGTGAGGGGCAACTTCTGAGCAATTAGTTTCTGTAGAGGAAGCCATCTGCCTCAAGAAAGGCCCTCACCTCTTCCCTAGCCCTTATCTAAGAGCTAAAGCCTTAGTGCACAGCCCTGACTTTCACCAGGCTGCCTGGAGCCAGAGGACAGGGGGCTCAAACACACCTAGAAACAGGCGGGGACCTCGCCTCACCCCAAGTGACCACTCCAAGCCAAACACCTGCTTGTGTTTCATGCTATCTCATGTGTCACGGGAAGCCTTATAAGGAAGGTCCAGAGGCCTCCAGCACTTGGTGGCTTCTGGTCACTATGGACATGGACCTCTTGCCCATCCCCTGCCCATCCCCTGGCCAAGTGTCTCCGTGGGATCAACTCTGAGTTCCACCTTCTCCGTCCCTGCCACTGCCTGTGCCTGCACAGGCCTCCTTGCTGCCAGCTGGCCATTCTGAGAGCCTTCCTCACGCTCCTGCTGGCTGCTCCCACCTCACCAGGTCTTCGTTCAAACGTCACCTCATTACAGAGACGCTCTCAGACGCCTTACTCGAAACAGCAGAGAGGGAGGGAGGGAAGCGCCCCTGTTAGGCTCACGTTTCTGTCAGACATCCCCCTAGTACACTAGGAGGCCTGTCAGCCTGAAGATTTAACAGCCACAACACTGGCAGCACCCTGAGGTGCCCCAAACCTACTCTACCTAGCAGTGACAGGTCAGTGCCATGCTGACCACATCACCTGGCTGCAGGCGCCAGAGCACCTTGAGCTCCAAGGTAGCCTGTGATTGCTGCATCAGCACCCTCAGCCTACTAATCATGCCATCTAGTTCCTGGCAAGTCACAGTCCCTCTGGTCATTTCTGGCCTCGCTGTCTGTGGCTTATCACAGTGAACTGCAGTACCTCCCAAATTAAAAACTCAAATATGCAGAACAACAGAAATTCACGTGGCACAAGCGGATGCAGAGATGATATGTCTGGCAATGAAGTGGCAGCAATCCTCATGGACATGCTGCACTACGGACTGTAAGAGAAAGGCATGCCACTGAGGAGGTCCATCTGGGTCAGCGGAAGCTGCAGATGACAGACAGTGGCAGGATGTGGTGAGGTAGTCTCTGCAGGTTTCGCTAGCTCAAGGGTACTTTCCAAACAAACACAGTTCTATGCTAATAGAGCTCTTCTTGGCTGGGGTGGGCATTTCACAAACATTCACAGAAATTGGTTTGCATGAACTACATGGCAGGCTCCACCCTTTGCTAAGTGTGAACACTGAGGAAGCCAAGAGGACAGGTGTGGTGCTGGACAAAAGCACTGTCCGCAGCCTGGGTACCAGTCCTTCTTGGAAGTAGCACAGAGGGGGCCTGCACTGGCTGCTCCCAGGAACAGCACCAAAAGTGCCCATTGGGTTAATGCTGAAGACTCACTGTCCCCTGGATAGCAATCTGAGCAACATGTGAAGCCTCTACATTTTGGAGTTTACAAAATATATTTAAAAAGCTGTGAATTAAAAGTGTGTCTGCATAAAAGGATAAAATTAAGTAAAATCTTAGGTGATTTAAGAATCTGTAAGTTTGGCTCTTGAAACTAAAGAATTTGAGTTTAAATACCTATGTGAGGTTCTTTATGTATTTAAATGCAAATTATTATACACTAAATTCTGCATAATATGAGCATTAAAAGTTATCTGTATTACATGTGTAGGAAGCCAAGGGTGTGGTTCATTTCCCACATCATACTGTGGCCCTTACATGTGGAAAATACCAGAATGTTCCTGTTAGTGTTTTCATTAGAAGGATCAACTTTCTGCATAAACCTTTGTAAGAGCCTTCTGTTGAGTAAATTACCAACAGTCTTGAACAGATGAATGAACTGACAGAAAACACAGTGGCAAGGAGCAGATGAGCCAGAAGCAAGCAGGGAATTTGTGTGTCCCCATTTCACTGAACAAGGAATTAGAGATACCAAGGCAACTATCAGTCTCCTCAACTGTGAAAGCACTACACAGTGAACGAAATATGCCAGCACTTGACTGGTTTGCCCGACTGTAAACACACAACTCATGTTGACCTGCAGAAGGCAGCCATGATACAATACAGAAGGAATGTGGCTGAAGAGCCAGCAGTGTGCAGTGGCCTCTTACCTGGACCCTGGTCTCTCCACAGCTGTCCTTGCCCAGAACGGCTGTATGCAGAGCTCGTCCTGTGGGAGCCAGAACTCTGTCTTCCCCACCTCCCTGCGGAGTATGGTAAATATGTCAGCAGACATTAGTCATGATACCCTGGGTTTAAGCACAGAGGTTTCCAAAGCAACAAGGCTCCAATGGCATGGACAGCTTGAGGTGGGGCTGCAGCACAGTCTGGCCCCAAGAGGGTTGCAAACCCGTACTTCCAGCCTGAATGGGGCAGCTGGCTTTCTGCTGAAGGGTGGAGGACAGCTCCACAGGTTGCTCTACCACCTGTGTTCAAGAGGAAGACGGGCTCACTGATTCTGCCCTGGGGGTGACGGGGCCAGATGCTGCTAACCCGAAAGGAAGGAGGGGCCCCACCTCTGGTCCCCTCAAGCCAACTCAACCGCAGAGACTCTTGCCCGGAGCACACTCCTTTCGTTAATGAACTCCTCCAAATATCCCACAAACTCACTAACACAAACCTCTTGCACTGTAAAATTTTCGTAAGTTTCAAAATGTGGATATCTTGTTCTATTTGTGTCTACTAGAAGGCTGGATTAAGCACTAATGTATGAGTTTTGTTCTGTTTTAAAAAAAATCTTGGTATTTCCCAGTGCTCTCACAAAGAAAGAGGCCCGAGACTGAGCAGCACCCACCACTGGTTCTACTGTTCCACAGACACGAGGCTGGGTTCATGTGGTGAAGGATCTTCAGTCAAAGGCAGGCATGAGCACCGCATGCCACCTTCAAAGACGCAGTTTCTCTTTGTCTGGAGCTACTGTGCAAACAAGGGATAAGGACCCACTCAACACGCCCAGACCACAGGCCACAGGGATGTTAAGCACCAGTGAGTGGAGAAGACTGAGGGACAGCATTTGTGATGTGCTGAGTAAGCCCTGCACCTCCTCCCAGGCCATCTCTTGCGTAGGGCTCAGGATGGCCTCCAGCTGGTCTCCTTGCCCCATTTTCCTTTATTTTCTGTGCAGTCACCTTTCTAAGAGCAGATTTCTGATCAGAGTACTTCAAAATCTTCCCCAATTTACAGTGGGTGAAAACATCAACTGGAGTTTGGCATATGACAGGTCCTACATCGAGTTCCTACTTACCTTCCCCAGCTCTTCTTCCACTGCAGTGATTTACCCAAAACTAACTGTTGGCCTTCCTTCATCTACCACCCTTCCTTGGTGCAGCTGCAGCTCTTAGTTCCTAAGCAAAGCCCCTTTGTGACTGCTGCCCTCACAGCTGAGCTCCTGCACACATGGTGTCAATCATGAACAGTGTTAGCACAGGGATGCTAACTGCAGTGCTGCAGGTTTCCGCTTGGGAAAATCAGTTCTGGTGCCTGACACATGAGCCACATGCAACCCCATCCCCTGGGCAGCTGTCAGTTCCATATGCATCTCAGGAAGGGTGGCTTTTCCCTAGGCTCTTCCAGCAGCCCACAGGAGCACACAACAGCAGTCAGCACTTGTGGAGGTCTACCAAGTAGTGCCGTCCTTCTTCACCACCGGACACACACGGGCAGTGTGACCACAGGAGTCTGGGCATGCAGTTGCCAGTAATGACAGCCACCTTGAAACACCCTGCATGGAGCCATCAGTAAGCCTCTCTGCCATCGAGCAATCATGATGAGGGATGCATGCACAGGGAGGGTAGACTCTGATTCCCATTTGCCAACCAGAGGGAAACAAGCAATGCAAGGAGAATGTAGTACATTTATTTTGCAAGGAATAAACCTTTGTTTTGGGATCTCAAAACTGTCTATCTGCAATTGGTAGGAGAAAATTCAAATGGAGAAAAAAGTTGGGAACAGAGAAAAAAGTGCTTTCTTTTCCCAGTCTGGGATCAGCCTCACACCTTAGCTGATCTCTTGTAATACCCCATACACATGGCCCAGCAGGATAGGCTCACCCAACGGGGCCACTCACGCCACACTGCCTCCAGGAGGGCATGTGCACACTGGTATCACACAGGGCTCCTGGAGATGGCTGATGGGTAGAAATCTCAAGTGAGTTCTCCTACCCATCAACAAAATAATGACGTTGCTATGCTTATAGCTATAGATACTAACCAAAGAAGGACATGAAAAAAAAATTAAAGGAATCTCATTAGTACAATAAGCATGTCCAACTCCATAAAAAACAAGCATTCAATCAATGAAATTCATCTACCAAATTAATAAAAACAAATTTAAAAGATTTTAAATGCTGTCAAGGTTTCCATCTAATAGATTCTTACTGCACGTGAAGGTATGACATAAAACAAGGATTTTAGAAAACAAGCTGGCAACATTTACTCAAAATCTGATTACATTCTGATCTATAATTGTACAAACTGTATAGGATACTTTAAGAAAATAATGCACATGAAGGCAATGTAAATGAGAAAAATGGAAATAGCTACAGATTGCAAAATAGGCAAAGTGGTAAATACACAGGGTCTATCCAGCAGTGGAAGATTCTGTGGCTACTGTTTTCTTTTTAGCATGACTGCTGAGGTAAGTTAAGTGGTACCTGGAAAAACAGGATTCAAAACTGAAGCAAGTACCAACCATGACATAAAAGTGCAGGAAAATACTCCAGAAGTGTATCATCTGTTTGCACTTTTCACCTTTAGGTGACAGAATTAGAGATCATTTGTATTTCCTTTTTTATTATGTTCTTTATACACTAAATTTTTCTAACATGACTTTGCTATGAGGAAAAATGAAATCTAAACTTTTGTAAAGTTAAACACTACCATGTGGCCTCTGTACTTTGGAGGACTGCAAGAAGTAGGTTATACACATAGAGAAAGAGCATCACTTTTCAATGAATAATTCAACGTTTCCTGAAATTTTCTTTCTAAATGGGACCAGAATTTAAAGTACTGAGTAGAGCTCTAGCATATTAACATAATCCTTTCTTGACATTTCATTGTCTTCTTCTTGTAATTTTTTTTTTCTTTAGTCAGGGTCTTACTATGTAGATCTAGCAGACCTTGAATTCACTATGTAGGCCAGGCTGGACTCTCATGCACAGCAATTCTCCTGCCTCAGCCTCCCAAGGGCTAAGATTGCATGTGTGCACCACCACGCTGGGCTCCTCTTGGAACCCTTTACCAGAAAGCCTCAGGAAAGAGCTAGGCCTATCAAGAACACTGAGTGACCAGAGCAGTGAAATGATTGGTCCTTTCCCACCTGTGTGGTGTGAGTTCCAGTGCGTCCGGCCCACGATGCGACGGTTCTCCTTCATGCAGGCCTTGCACACCACTGCCTTCAGATTGTGAAATTTGGTGAGCCAAGATCTCTGCAAATAGAGTGAATGCTAATGAGAGCTGGCCACACATCCTGGGAAGAGGCCAATGCACGCCGAGCAGGGTCCGACATGGAAGGGATGGACACACACCATGAAGGTTCTGTCCCGAAAGACTGAAACCAGCTGGCTGCACATTCTGTACCAGCTGCGAACAAGCGAAGTCCTCCTTAGTGTGATCACACGAGCATCTCAGAAGACCTTGCTGAGTCTCCCAGGAAAGCACTGTTAAGCAAACATACCTAACCTTTCTCTTCCGTGGGTTAAGCACTCATTGCTAAAAAGCAACCTAGATTAGCACACAGTCTTACCTAAAAAGCTGTGCATCTGCTTATTTCCATTCTTAGTTACAGGACATGCTGAGGCCACACACAGCAGCAGACAGAAGGCAGGGGCAGTACCCCTTTCCTAGCAGCTTCCTATTTTACTAGTGAATATTCTATCCAGTGCGCTTGACTATTTCATCTACACTCACCTGTGTAGTCAGAGACCAGGCAGAGAAGGCAAGAGGCCCACAGGGACCCGGCTGTGGCTGGAAGGCGCTGCCTCCTTGCATCACTGCTACAGCAACACCCAAATCTAAAGTCCATCATCTCGTACTCTGCTTGCTGTCCACGCGTAACTTAGACCACTTCTAAGTCTGAACACAAAGTCCTATGACACCCCGGGACTTTTTTCCTCTCGTGAGAAAGGGTGGAGGCAAACATTAGCAAATGTTTTCCCTCGGTACGAAAGCCGGGAGCGTTTCATCTAACAGACTAGCGTGCTCTCTGTGATCACACTGTCTTCACCTCCCTGTGGGTATTAAACATTCCAAATGAGCTTGGCGTGGGGCCTTATTTGGAAACCTTCCAGGAACCACGCAGTGATTGTGCTCGGAAAGCGGAGCAGCAGCCACATCCCCAGGGACGGGGAAGCCTTCTGAGTATTTTCAAGTGCCCCACCACGTGGTCTGGGGTCTATGGCTGCCCTTCTGCAGAAAGTGAAAACCCTCCCTTCCCATCAGAGGCTGAGGCACACGGACACCAACACAATGCTACTGGTCACAGGTTCCTGGTGCCATTGAGTAACTAGACCTTTTTGTCAGGAAGGTAGCTGTGGGAATCTAACTAACCTGAACACTAGTGGTGTAGATTTTTGAAGCCTCAGACAATGAAGGAAAGTGTTTGTCCTGGTGAACCTAAGTGGCTATTAGGACAAACAGCCCTGCTCATCTGATGTCCAGCCCAGGCCTCTGCATTTTCAGATGTACTACAGGTGCTGGCTTCCAACTGTTTCTGAAATGTGCAAAGCAAAATAAAATACCACAAACTCACGTTTTGTTCCAAAAGAACCTCTACCGCGTATCCCTTTTCAGACTGCAGGTACTTCTGATGAAAAAGCTTCCCGTCAAACACATTCCAGGGCATGAATTCATTCGTCTCCCAGGGGAAGCCGCATGCACTGTTGACCAGAGCCAGAGTGGTGAGGCCTCGGACGAGGAGCGACCCAAGCTGCACAGCTCGGGGGTTGATGTATTCAAGCTACGGAGACGAACACACCAGAAAATATACAACAGTGCCCTTGTCCGGAGATCAGACACCATGCTGACTCTCAGGAGCTCTGCTGACTGTAAGAAGCGCTGCAAGCAAGTCTGGCTGAGGGAGGAAGAGGGAGAACCTCTCTGGGGAGCTATGTGACAGAGCAGCAGATGCTCGCTCAGGCCTGCCCTTCAGACCCAGCTACACACAGTCAGTGTCCCGCCCCAGGAGCCACAGGGCTGCAAACAGAAATGACTCTCAGCTACATCAAGCTGTGCCCACCGGGAAGACACCTGCAAGCAAGATCACTTCCTGCTGGGTCTGCAGCTCTGAGAAGCTTTCTCCAAAGGCAAAGGGAGAGTGAAAGCACTGGAGGCATCACATTAGACACCAGTGGGCTGTGTTTGTAAAAATCACAATTGCTGTTAATTATAAACACTTACAAAAATCTCATTTAAAATGAGTATTTACTGCTTAAGAATAAAATGGCATATGTACCTCAAAAGGCTAATGGTTGAACAAAACAAGAATTTCACATCAACATGAAATACCTGTTTTCACTGTCAAATCCACCTTAATGTCTAATGTTCTCGCTGTCCTCAAATAGAAGCCACCCTTGGGTGCTGCACGGGGTTGCTGCAGCCCACCAGCAGCCACAGGTGCCCCTCACAGCTCTGGAGCACCTGGCCACATGGACCCCACACTCACATCAGCATGGTGAGTGTCCACGTGACTCCACCAAGAACAAGCAAGGGTAGCAGTCACCTTCTATTTCTGTGCTCAAATTAACACACAGCTATTTTACGTCATTATATACCTAATACAGTATATAAAACCAAAATAAATCAGGAAACAGTGACAGATTTTTTTCAATTTTAAAGAGAATTAAAAAAAAGAACAACAGCAAAACACCAACCACAGACAAAAACAACGCAAAAACAATAAAAATGATACAGGGTTTCAGAACGAAATGATAGGAATTAACAGTGGTTGTTATATTACATATTATCTTCAATGAAGTTGCTCAGACCACCAAATGTAAGAATGCAAGATTGATCAAACCACTGAAGAGCATTAAAAAATAAAAACAAAAAAACCCATTAGAAATGACACAGAGTCTCACTACACAGGATGGCAGGAGCTCACCAGTGGTTGTTGTATTGCATACTGTTGTCTTCAAGTCAGCTGCTCAGATGACCAGCTACAAGCATGCAAAATTGGTCAAAAATATTAAGCATCCTCTTTAAAGCAATGCTTTCCTTACTAAGATGCAGTAAGGTGGTAACTGTTAAGAAATTTATCATGAACTGGGAATATCTTAGAGTAAATTCTAAAGTTTGATCAAAAGGTTTTTGTTAGCTAGGCATGGTGGTACATGCCTGTAATCCCAACCTGAGGCAGGAAGATCATGAGCTTGAGGCGAGCCTGGGCGATTTAACGAGACCTTGTCTCAAGATGGAAAAATTAAATGAACTGGGGATGTATCTCAGTGTTCCCCAGGTTAAATCCTCAGCACTGCCAAAAAAAAGATTTCTGAAGCACAGCACTATTTTGAAGTATCCTGAAGGTACTTGTGTTTTAGAAAGATGACTACTACACAGGGATGCACAACTACTAAGCTGCGGTCAAGGTGTTGAAGTTGTTTCCTCCACGTACCTCCAGACGAAGCGCTCTGCTTCTGACGGGCCCTCCTGTACTGCTTACTCTTTTTATTTTACTTTTCTCTCTGCAGTACTGTGGATTGAACGCAGAGCCTTCACATGAACTACGTCCCCAGCCTTTTAAAAAACTTTTGTACAAGATAGTTATACTACTAATTTCTCTTAGTTCACTGAAAAGAAAGGTCTGTGCTTATATTCACACCTATGTCTTGTAATCTGAGCAACTACTTTGAAGGTAACAATATACAATGTATTAACCTTGTTTCTCTATTATCTTGTTTTGATATTTTGTATCGCTTTTCTCTTAAAAAAAGAATAAAATTACAAACACAAAATGAAAAGAAAAAAACTTTTTAAACAAGTTTTGAGGTGGGATCTTGCTAAATCCCTAAGTTGCTCAGGCTAGACTCAAACTTGTGATTCTCCTCAGTCTCCCAAAGTCCTGCGATTACAGGAACACATCATTCCCTGCCTCACATTGACACTTCTTGTCAGGAAGTACCCTTCTATGATCTGACACCTCTGCCGTGTGCCAAGCCTTGCACTTGTGTGTGAATACACAATGTGCTATCCTGTCTAGAACTACGTTGGCTTGGCTGCAGCCACAGGTGGAATTTTAACTTACAATGGAACTGTAGAGGCTGGGGACATAGTTCAGTGGTTCAAGCGCCTGCGTGGCAAGTGCAAGGTGCTGAGTTCAATTCCCGGTACAAAAAAAGAAAAAGAATTGTACATTCAGTTTCTCAGATGCATCAGGTGTACTTCAGCCCTCTGAAGCCATGGAGGTCAGTGACTGGTGCTCTAGTCAGCAGAGATGTAGGATGCTTCTCTCATGATCAGAGTCCCACTATAAAGCCCTCCCTCTTCTACCTCCAGAGCTCTCCTGCTACACACTGCAACCACAGCTCACCCACTCATTGGCCTCCAGTCCCCACTCTCACCAGCAGCAGACTGTGTGAAGGTGACATGGTAGCAGTTCCTAGCCCAGCATCCCTTTGCAAGGCCCACTCAGTTGATATCAAACAGACAGGAAATTTGTACTAACAGATGTTACATGCTTTTTCCGATTGTGGAGGAATAATTTTCTGATTGGTAAACTTATCCATAATGCAGTCTATTCTTTTCATCTCTTCTCACTTGTCTGTTTTGAAGTAAACTATACATGAAGTTTGCCATCCCCTAAAACACAAATTCTACACATACCATGTGAGTTTTCACAAGTCCATAGTGCTAGGTTAAAAATGAGAGGTCCTTGTTCCTGAAAAGTTACCACTAACTTCTCAAATTGTAGACTATTTTTTTTTTTAGCTTATACAAATAATCTTGGGATATAATAATAGAAAAATTACAGTGAATGCTACTGCTGAGAGCCATAGTATGGAAGACAGAAATCTTCAGTACCAGCAATGCCACGTCAAACCTTAGCAACAGTAAACCTGTTTGCTGTAGTTAGTTGTGAGCTGCAATTCAGAGAAGGCATATTTGAAAGCGTGCCACAAACCACAGATCACAAGCAGTACATTAACAGGAAATTTTGTTAATTTCATCGAAGTTTTTTGATTATGCTGCTTCAGTTCTAGCACTCTAAGAAATGTCATCGTGGAAGATGATATTTGGGTCTCTACTTTTCATCCTGACACCAAGATTCAGAGTCCTTAAGGGAAATCACCCAGTTCTCCTTGCCCCCCAAAAGTGCATTAATCGAGATCCAACATGAACATGACACTGATTGTGTCTTTTCCCCCAACGGAACTGTGTGAGCTGACTTGGTGCTGAGGCACTCCAGAAAATTCTGAACATTATGAGAGCTTATCAGTGTAGGAACAGTGCGCAGTGTAGGAACAGTGTAGGAACAGCGCATATACATCATCATGACGGTGATGTATATCACACATCACTTCTGGGACAGCACTTTTTGTCCTCATCCATCATAATCAATGGATCTGGCACCGTCTGACTTCAGGCTCTTCCCCAAAGTCAAGCCATGAAACATTCTGAATTTTGGAGATTGAGGCAACCACAACAGGGCAACTAAAGACACTCATAAAGATACCCAGAATGGCTTCAGAAGCGGCAAGACAGAGGGGTAAGCATTCAAAATGAGGGACAATATTTTGAGAGGTATTAATGGCAATGTCTTTTACTGTAATAAATCTTCTTTAACAAATTTAACATTTGTTCTATTTTCTGATCACCCCTTATATGCTTCTGTCTGTGGTTCCTTTTGATCCACATTGTGAGGTATTTCCATGCTTTCACGAGCAAGTTCTGCTGCTATCATTGCTTTGTGATAAGTCCTTAAATGCTGTGGTCCTGTCACAGATTTAGGGTTAAATCTTAGACTGACATCTTAGACTTTTAAGATGTTTGTTTCCTATTTCATTAATAGGATTCCTACACTTTTCTAAGACTGACATCTTAGACTTTTAAGTCCTCTTTCACCCTTTTGAATGGAGCACATCTCTCCACTTAGGTACATCGCCTTGAATTTCTTTTACGAGTTTTACAGTTGTCAACATAGAGATTTTGTACTTTTGCTTTCTCCTCGTTATTTCACATTTTTCTTTGATGTTAGTGTAAATTTAAAATAATTTTAGGTTATTTTTATAATAAACTTTACATGTTGATTTTATATCTAGCAACCTGTTATACTTGTTTATTAATTTGAATGACTGGACTATAGTTTCTTTTCAATTTTTCATATATATCAATCATGTCATATGCCAATGATAATAGTTTCCTTTTTCCTTTAAACTACACTTTTTTTTTTTTCCTGAGACAGGGTCTGGGTATGTAGTTCAGGCTAGCCTTGAACTCACTATGTAGCCCAGGCTGGCCTTGAATTCGCAGTGATCCTCCTGCCTAAGCTTCCTGAGTGCTGGAATTACAGGCTTATGACACCATGCCCAGTGTCGAATTATGCTTGTACTTTTTCTGACTTCCTCTGTTGGATGGGACCTCTCATTTAACAGCAATGATGAAGGGCATCCCTGATTCACTCACACTGTGGAGGAAAAACTTCGAACACGTTGCCACTGTATGGTTTCCATTGTGGTTTTGCAGATGTCCTTTACTAGATAAGAATTTTGGCACTTACAACTAAGGATGCTAAAATCTTTGAGGGCAGGTTGTCATGTGGACATAAATATTCAACTCCTTTTGGTAAATGCCACGGGGTACAATTGCTGGGTCACACAAAGCATATTTAGTTGTCTAAGAAGCTGCCAACTCTCTTCTAAAGTGGCTGCACCATTTTGTATTGCAACTAGCAATGAGACAGTTCCTGCAAGAATCCACTTGTAAAAAGTTCTTCTCTACTATACGTTTGTTTCCTATTTCATT